TTACTAATACTAAAAAAAATAAATCTATATTATAAAAAGTAAATCAATGCTCAGTAAAATAAATTAAAATAATCCGTTAAAGAGCTCAGAGTAAAAGCAAGATGTACTTCGCTATTGTTGTAAATTACTAAAAAAAGTGATCTTGTAGTTATAACGAAAATTGTCTAAGTATGAAAAATTAGCTAAAATAGATAAATTTCTAGCAAGTATTGTAATACTGGATATGTATTGTATCTAATCATACAGAGATCATCAATCAACAGAGATAGAATTTAGATTTGTGCTATAAATTCTGTGCGTATGATACATTTTCTATCAAATACAAAAAATAGTGATAATTGGAGCAACAAAATATTTTTTTTATATGAAGAAAAATGATTAATCAATTTTTTTCTTCTTTTTAAGTAACGGTTATCTTCAACAAAAAATATTTTCTTAATAATAATTTTAAAATAATTAATAATAATTTTAAAATATTGATTACAATAAGTATTTTCCTGCATATCGAATGAATATAAATGGAAAATTAACTCTTAAATGTGCCATTGAAGGTCCAAAAGACCCCAAGGCTTTTTCAATCATATTTTATGATTCTGCTGTAAATCGAACTTCTGACTTAAAAATTAAAAATTAAAAAATTGTTTATTTGTTTAAAAAGAGTATGCTTTTTAAATTTGAACTAATTTTAGTATATTTATACAGTAAAATTTCACAATACAATTACATCTTCTTTTAAAAACTTTGAGGTGTATTCAAACAAATTTTCAAAACAAAATATTGAAAACTAAAAATAGTATACACTTTTTGCTATAGAGTCTAATTAATTCCGTGTGGTATCTGTGTGATTTTTTTAATATGTGGCATTTAAAGTTAATAAAAAAACTGATTTACTTTAGCAAGATTCTTATAAAGTCTGTAGCGATTATCTCGAGAAATTTGTAAAAACGAGTGGATGTCGTGGAGGGTTAAAAATCGTTCCTCCATCACGCGTGATTTGATTAATTATTATCCCTTTTCCTCTCCCACAATCGTCACGTGAATATACGGAGACGAATCTATTCTAATTAAAAAGAACGAGATTGAGAGGCTGAGAGATCCTTGAGCAATGTTTCTTTCTACCTAGATCGTCCGAGTAAACAGTTCGAGGTGGAACACCTTTCAAATCAATCGCAGATGGATCTCTTTTTCCACAGAAACCGCTACAGGGGACTCGTAAACGACGGTGGTCAAATAAATATAAATATAATCGAATGAAAGCCTGCAAGTCTCTTGCATCCGTTTGTATAACAAAACTCAACAACGATGACGACGAAGCTCTCCGATATCTCGACGAAAGTCGGAACGAAATGAAGAAAATTAACAGCAAAGCGATGGCTGTCATCATTGATCATTCGAGTTTTTCACTTAAGTTTTATTCCTTTGATATCGAACAGCAATAAATTAGAAAAAAAAAATTTAAGATCTTAAAAAATCGATTGATAAAAGAAAATTTAATTTTTCTTAGAAATTTTTTTGTGATTGTTCGATATCAAGGAACAAAGCTTAAGGACGTTCTCTAAAAAAATCCATTTTCTTTAAGTTTTTCTGAAACTTACAAAATAAGTTTGTTTTAGAGTCCTGAACATATGTGCTTTAAAACTCAATACTCGGAGCAGGATTAAAAATCGAAATATTCCACTTCAAAGTTGAAGCGTTTAAAAAAAAAATATATATATATAGGATTCCTATCTAAAGCTTATTCAAAAGTGATGTTTTTAATCACTGTAAAAAAGTTTTTTTTAACAATTTTTTGAAACAATGAGATATAAACCTTGATATCACAAGGAATAATATGAAATTTGTCTGAATATGGCTTCTAGTATTCGTTTTTAAATCATTAAACAAAGTAAGTAACGCAGTAAGTAAAATCGCTATTTTTTCGACTGGCGGCAGTAGCGAAGAGGCATTTCATATTGTATAAAAAAGCTTGTATAAACACTTTTTATACAAGCTTTTTTATACAATATGAAATACCTCTTCCATTAACACTTATGGAATATCTTATACTTTATATAAAAGTGAAATAAATTATCATAAAAATTTTCATAATGGTGAGCAGTAATGTGCTCATTAAGTTGAGCATAACTGCAGTCGGAGAACGTCCTTAAGTACTCAAATGATCGAACTGATGACAGTGGTGACAGTGATGACATCGTTTCGCTATTAATTTTCCCTATTTCGTTCGACTTTCGTCGAGCTTCGTCATCGTCATCGTCGTCGTCGTTGTCGGGTTTTGTCATACAAGCGGGATCCACGACCTGTTTGTGAAACTCAGAGAGAATTCTTCCTCTAGAATCCACCTTTGAAGAGGGATGTTCGAGCGGTAATTGAGACGATGTCCGATGGGGGTTTGTTTTCAGAAAAAACCCGCCGTGTTACTTCCATTCTTCCCCATCCTGTTGACGTGTTCCGGTCTTAGTCTCCGCGAGGGGCTTTTCCCTTTTTTTTTCCTCTTGCTATCCTTTTGCGTTGGTCGTTCGATCGATGTCATGCCCAAGGGATGATAAAAATAAAGAGGGCAAGCCAGAAACGGAAAAGAGAAAGAGTGATGGAGAGGGAGAAAAACGTAAAAAGTACGTATTACCTTCCGCTAACCAACCAATTTTTTGCGACACACGCGTCCGCATGCGGTTATTACTTTTTATCGCATGAAACGTTTTATTGTCCATTATACTCGGCTATCGGAGGATAGAATGAGCACGTAGATAAATAAATAGATCGAGGAACGGCAGAGAGGAAAAGAGAGTGCCGCAATGCCCATGGACATTTCCGTCGTGAACAACAGAAATAAAAGCGACGAAGAGATCGTGACCAGCGATGCTCTTGTACTCCCCGTCGCATCACCTATTGAATCTTCCTTGTTTATCATCGATTATCGTCCTCGATATCTCTTGGGATGAGTCAACTATCGTCGCAACTATCGCCTTTCTGACTTATTCGTGCATTGAACTTGATCGTGTTGGAAATGCAAAATGACTTAGCGCAAACGAGTCTCTTAAAAGTGACAAATTGAAGAGAATCTTTTTCAATTCTTTTCCAATTCTTACACGAGAGATGATTCGGACATATCAATGTTCGAAATGATATCTTCCTAAACTTCTTAAAGTGAAATTTCACTTCAAAAGAATGAGAATTCTGTTGAAAAAGAGTGAAAATATTTGCACAACATCTCTCACTGAGAAAAATGGCCTGGTTGAATTAAATAGTAATTCTGATGGAAAATGGATGAATCAGAATTTTCTGATTACATCTATAAACTATACTATAAAAATTCTAGTTGAGATAACTAATAGAATTTTGATTAATATAATTATTCTGATAAAAATAAGAATTCTAGTAGATTTTATCAGAAAAATTGTATCGAACAGAATTTCAGTTATCTCAACTAGAATTTTAATAAATTTAATCAGAAAATTCTGATTCGTCTATTTTCAATCAGAAATTTTTTTCAGTGTTAATATGATCGGACTTGCCCTTTCGTTCCTCACTGCATCTAAATGTACAAACCAATCATATTAAAGAATTTTACAATAGTTGTAAAACTGCTTTTTCTGCTGAATGCAATCTCATTAATTTTTAACAGATAAATTATCTTGGAACATATCAAATAGCTATAAAAACATATCTTTATAAAGCGAATGACTGCTTTTGTTCACATTTTGAAGTAATGTATTGAAAAATTAAATTACTACATTTTTATAGTTAACTATAAAAGGAGATAATTACTGGACAGACGAAAAAGAAATGTTCCGTTAAAGTAAAAAGTCGTTCCAGACATCATGATCTGTAACTCGAATCGTTCTTTAGGAGGAAAGTTGGCACGATCTTGTTTAACCTGATAAATCGACCATAGAGAATTCGTTCTCTTTTTAGCGTCTTCGTGGCGCGGCGTTAATTATACTACGCAAATAGTCAAAGGTTAGTCGGAAGGAAGTGGGTATCGGCGCGGTTTGCTCGAAACGGCGCGGCGGATGGGAATAAATTAAGTTCATCCGGCGAAAACGCATCGTCTGTGAATCGGTCTCTACGGTTTACGTGCGTTTAATTAGAGAACAGAGAGCATCTACGACCTTCGCGGAACGTCTTCGACGCCCGTTCACTTTTGTAATAATTCAACGCTCCAGGAAATTACGCACACGCGTAGACCGATTTGATTGAACGAATGAATGAGGATGAACCTGAGACTATTAAGAATTAAAAACTCTCTAATAACAGTCAGAAATAACTTCAATTTTGATTGGTATCGTTATTTTTCAGCAGACTAATGTAGATATAGACTGCACTGTTAAATCTATAGTGTCAAATTTAACTTAATGTTGAGTCATTACAAAACAATAATTATATTTGATATTATACAGTGTCAATTTAAAACTATATAGTATCAAATTGACACGATATAATGTCAAATTTAATTATTGTTTTAATAAAAACTAACGATATATTTAGTAGGAGTAGCGACGACTCACATTAGATTAAATTTAATACTATAATTTTAACAGTATGTGTATCACAGTCATAATATTTAGATATAATACATCTGTGTAGTCATTAGAGAGTTTCTAATAAGAATTTAAAAAAAAAGAATTAAACGCGTCCAAAAGAGATGAATTTATCTCTTTATTGATTTTATCCTAAACTTTCGTATCTCTTTTTATCTTTTATATCGCGAAAATATTAGTGAACCACAGGAACCAACATTAACACAATTTTGGAAGACCGATCCGAATGTTCAGGTGATGAAAAACTCACCCAACACGATTGTCAAGAGAAACGCTGCACTCACGATGGCAATCGCCATGCAGAGGAGCCTCATATTATATATCCCTTATCGCCTCCGCTCGTCCACTTCTATCCTCTTCCTCTTCGCGACCTGCACCTCCTCGTGTTGGTACCAAAGGAGAGCCTACGATCGCATCGTAGTTGAGTCGATTCGCTTCGCGGCGGATCGGAGAAGGCACGGAGACGCGAGTGTATCCGCGCCGATGAACGAAATTTCACGACTGTTTTGTAGTTGAATATGCGACCGGTCGCTCGGAACGTGAAAGACTGAGGAAGGCTCGTGCTGGCCAAGTGATATTAGCCTCGTACAACGGCCCACTCGTGTGCACGGGGCCTCTCCCAGCCGTTCTCTTCACTCCGATGAAAGAGGAACTCGGTCTCTTTTTCCCTCCGCGGTGGAATCCTCCTCGAGGCGAGAGAACGATGCGAGTCGACCTTCTGCCTTCACGCGACGCCGATCGCAACAAAGATTTCATGCTCGCTAAATCTACAAGAGAACATGCCGATTATTTTAATTAATAAATATTAACCGATATATATCCATTAACAGAATAAATATTCATTTTTTTATTATCAAACAAAATCTTGAGTCATTAAATAAGTTTTATGAAGTTTTACTTTACATTTACTGATTATTGTTAAAAATTGTTAGGTATAAGGGCTCTGTCTGATGATCAAAAATATATTTATTCATGTAATTGGATAGTACTATTACCTCACGGTAATTGAGGATAAAATCTTGAGTCTAACAATTTTTTTTAAGTTTATATGATTACTAAAATTTTATGATTATTGTTAAAAATTAATAGATTGATTACTAATTATAATTAGG